GGGGAATCATAGCTATGAAAATAGGTTTTGTTGAGACATGGGTTACCTCTTAGCCTTAATTAATTCCTTGGCTATGAAGGGTCTTTCTTTAAGCTTTCTTGCTTTCTTGATTTCTTCTAAGGGGGTTCTTGGAGCTCTTTGGGTGGTGAGACGTTATTGTGGTGGGGGGTTTCTAGGTGCCTCTTAAGTCCCCTATTTATATATTTAGGAGTCCTAATTAGGAACTAATATTATAGGCTTGCTAATTCTATTCCTTTTGGGACTAAGGATTGGGTTTAGGGATAAGGGCCCGTGGACTATGGTGGGCCTTTCCTAATTAATTATTGTGATTTAATTCTTTCTTTTGGGTAATTGGTTAAATGATTTAATTGATTTTAGGGATCGTAACACGAGGTGTTACAGTTCCTCTTAATGAGAGTAGTATCCACTTATGATTACAATGTAACTTCTTCTCTAAGTACCTTATGTGGTATAAAACTTAATGAATAAACCTTATGTTCATTCTTGATTATAATTAGTTATCAAAAACTAATTATTGCAGCAATGGCTAAATTTGGCCTAATAAACTTGCACAACTTCATTTGTACAATATTAATGGAAAATGTTACAATTTTCCACTTGGTGCAAGTATTGGCACAACCTTTGTTGAATATCAAAAAACATGAATCATAGTGGTATGTCCTCTAAATTAAAAGGTGAGTAATACCATCTATGCATCACATGAATTTTGATTCCCAACTCAGGTCCTTTATGAATAAATCCTACGTTTACTCTTGGTCCAACCTTATGGATGTTTCTCAAATAAATATGCGCATAACCATAGGAGAAACCATCCAAATTACATAGAGGTGACAACATAAATGTACGTACAATATTAGTCACATAATAAGTTCCATGTACCATGTATGATCCCTAAAATTTTTATAAGCATGCTTTAAGTAGGGATCCGAAACTATTAGCAAAATGCTAATATATTACATGACTAACTCATTATCTTTAATATTATCGCTGACAGCTAAGTTTTCAGAGTTGACACGTCTGCCACTCCTACTCTCATTAATCTTAGCCAAAGATAATAATTGAGTAGTCCATATTCCAACGACTTAGATAACAAATTCATGAGTCTAAGCCCACAAATGGAACTTTAAACATACACCTTATAAATGATCTCCAAAACAAAGGAAGGAAGCCCAACTTTCATGTCATAGAGCAATACCGAGGATTTATTAATGTAACTTTATGAAACAACAAAAATATTGTATCATCATAAAAATAAAAATCCTCAAGATTCATCTATATGAACCAACATCATGAGTCTTTGCATGCTTTATGTCTATCAAGTTGAATCTTGAACCTTTTAAATCTTAATGGCCCAGGATCAATTTGATGAAACGAAAGACTCCAATAAATGCTAAAGAATCTAACTCGTGATAGTTCACCATAAACTTAATGCCATTGTTATAATAAAAACTATTAACGTTGTTACAACATTTTCAGAAATATGTTGCACAACTTGTAGCTAGTTCAACAAATTGAACTATTGATTTTACAATAACAAGGCAAGGTGTCTTATCCTTGAAGTGGAGCAATCTTGAAGTGAGACATCTTTAATGATCTTTCAAATGATCACTCCCACTGATCAAATGGGACATCTTAGTGATCTTTTAAATGATCACTCCCACTGAAGTGAGACATCTTTAATGATCTTTCAAATGATCACTCCCACTGATCAAATGGGACATCTTAGTGATCTTTTAAATGATCACTCCCACTGATCAAACCATTACTCCCACTAATAAAGTTATTCTTGAGCATAAATGATATACACACTAATGATCCTCAAGTCCAACTAACTTAACAAGGATTATAATTCCCCACCATAGTTGGACATGTTAAATATGTACATGTAACAGACACAATTTCCAACTACTTAAACAAATTAAATTGCTTTAGTTGAAATTTGGCAGATATGTACAATTCCAATATAAGGATCCAAAAGTATATCATGTCTAAAATTCAAAATCTCTACTGTGGTTGGGCTGAAAAAACAAAGCAAGCCACATACAGTAACAATTTCAAGTTACTAAAGTTTTGGAGGTTAACAAAATACATGTGTTGCCAATGCAACCCATGTGACATAATATAGAATTATAACTGGCTTTAAAGTTATAAATTCTAAAATTGGTATGATAAAATTTTATCTTGATCATCAATTTAAACAGGAGAATCCAGTGACATAAAACTTGCCTGTAGGCTAAAGATTTATTCAATTAGACTCGACTGAGGCTTTATGATAATCAAATAGAAGAATCTAGTGACACAAAACTTGCCTGTGGGCTAAAGTTTTGTTCAATTAGACTCAACTAAAATTTTATGATAAAATTATTATCAAAGGGGATAGAAGAATCTAGTGACATAAAACTTGCCTGTGGGCTAAAGTTTTATTCAATTAGATCCATCTACAACTTTATGATAAAACTATCAAATCATGTTCCTTTTCTTAATCCTTGTGGGTAAATTAAGAAATATGATTCGATATTTTATTCTGACTATTTACATTAATATAATAAAATTCATGTGGGTAGATTTTATTATATTTCATGTAATTAGTCACAAAGTTATCAAAACTTAATAATTTCAGTTATGAAATTGTATTGATCACTTGATATTTATACACAAAAGAATATTAATGCACTAAGCTATTAATCTAATTTTAATTTCCATGCATAATAAATACACATAAAAGAAATTAGATTAATACCTCAAAATGTACACATAAAAATATTCTTTGGATATATGTACATATATCACAACTTTATGATAGAAGACGCCAATTTATTTATATTATAACCATATTTTAAATAAATTGACTTTCCTATCTGTAATGATAAAACTCACCAAAACTATATTCCAATACATAATTGCCTGTGGGCTAAATTACGATCAATTCTTATAATTGTTAGACTAACATTAATTTTCACCATTAATATTCTTATACTAATATTAGTATTGTGATTATTTACCATCAAATGCTTACCACTTACGCTAATCATTATTATTTGTATCATTACACATTTAAAGGTTATTATTAATAATAAAAGTATTATGAAATTATTAGTATTAACGTTATTCCTAAAAATTTAGACAATGCTATACAAAAAGAGTTTCATTTTTATATATATTATATAATTATATAATTATATAATGATATATTTTCAAAAAAAAAAATATATAATGATATGATATTATATAATATTACGATATATTAATTTGATACAATAAAATGATATTATGGTGAAATAGTAAATTATTAGTATTAGTTTAAAATTATCTGTATTATTACACAATTCAATTAACGCCATCATTTACAATCTATCATTGAATAATTAAAGTAGGATTCGGTATGAGTCCCAACAATTGGTCCACCAAACATAGCATGTATAGTGATATCATTGTTTTTTCTTTACAGAGAATGAAAATCGTACTGTCATTGATGCATCGTACATGTCGTCCATTGAATGCAGCAACAATGCAGACAATCGTACACCACTACTTGGCGTTTTCCAAAGTTCGCTAAGTACGACAAATGGTAAGTGTGGTCTTTATCACAATGCACTTCCATAATTAATAGTTGTTAATATAAGTTGATACTGTAATTCACAGCTTCAACCGCAATTCGGACGACAATTCGGAATTCCCCTTTGCAAGATTTGAGTAGCAAAATACCATTAAGCAACATATCCAATAGTACGAATCTAAACCATGATTTTTAACGTTCCATATTTTAAAAAAAATATTCAAACAGTAAAATGGGATACTTAACATTCTAACAAGTGTTTCTTATGGCTGTAATATAATTAAAGAAAATTGCGCTCGAGGTGGCGAGGATCGTGATAAAGCACCGAGTACAAAGCGCCACAATCGTTCGTTCAACTTAAATAGAACACCATATTCACAACTAGGTATAAATTTAGAATCCAGCGATGTATTGATTACTTATATTAAACTACACAGACTAATTATGAATCCTGTACTCATTTATCTTAACTATTAGATAATAATAATCGTTGTTGTTGCAATGCACAGTTTCTTCTCCGATACGAATGACAATACATACTACATCAACACAAGATTTGAGTAGCAGAATGCCATTTAGCAACATATCAAATGGTATGAAGTTCAACAAATATATTGTAGTAAGATTACTACAAATTTATATATATAGTCAAATTGAATACTTATTAGTCTAACAAATCTTATTACAATATATTTTTAATTAAAGCAAATTGCGGTAAAGTCAATTGGGACCGCGTCAAACCACCTACATCTAACCGTCAAAATTGCTGCTTCGACTTAAATCGATCACCAGATTCGCAGTTAGGTATAAATATATATTGAAGGAGAGGTTTTTAGGGGATAGTCAGTTATAATGTTTAGGTAAATATTTAATCATTTTTACTTATAATGGGATATTGTTCTTTTAGGGTTTGAAAGTAATTGTTGTATTACAAATGACAATAATATGCAAATAGTCGTGGTAGAGCCGGAGAGTGAAACCATCGAACATTGCCGAAATTTGATGTCAGATTTTCAGGAAGTTGTTGAACCGTTACATGGCAATATGCCCTCAAATAATGGTGAGTTCATATGAAATGTGTTAGGACAAAAACGTATTATCTTTGGACGACACTAAAATACATTATTATGTTAGATATGAACTAATGTATTTTTTTTTTTTAGATTATTATTTTGATCTTGGTGATCCAGAGTATGTTTGCGAGCATTGTAATTCATTTTTTTGGTACAATGAACGGTCAAGCAATTCAAGGTCATGCGAAAGTCCAAAATACTCTGCATGTTGTGTCAATGGTAAAATAAAGTTGCCATTAGTGAGAAAGCCTCCTCAAAAGCTGTATGAGCTATTCTTTACATCAATTGATAAAAACAAATGTTTTTTAAATAATATAAGGTCATATAACAGCATGTTTTGCTTTACGTCGATGGGTGGAAAAATTGATAGAACTATTAACAACGGAACATCGCCGCCTATATTCCGTATAAATGGTCAAAATTTTCATCAGATTGGAAGCTTATTACCTTCACTTGGCATTCAACCGAAATTTGCCCAATTATACATTCACGATACAGAGAATGAGATAGAAAATCGCTTCAACTCTTTGAGGTATACTATTTTGTGTTACTAAAATATTTTGGGTATATCATGGGTTAATACGAAAAATCTTATATTATATATTCTTCCTTTTTTAGGGAGGAAAACAATGGTTCTACGTTGCATATTGAGGTAGTACATGGCATTAAGCAAGTCCTAGATGAACACAATGTGTTGGTTAAGTCATTCCGAATGGCCAAGTCATTTATGGAATCTAATCCTCAAAGTCAAATTAGAATGAGATTAATAGGAAAGAGGACTAAAGATGCCAGGACTTATGCGCTACCAACTACTTCCGAGGTTGCGGCTCTCATTGTTGGAGATATAGACCCTTCGATGGGGCAGCGGGATATTGTTGTCGAGTCTAGATCTGGAGTCCTGAAACGAATAAGTGAATTAAACCCGGCCTATTTACCATTGCAATACCCAATCTTATTTCCATACGGAGAGGATGGTTTTAGGGAAGATATACATTTTGCAACACATGGTACAAAACAAGACTTTGCAAGAAAGAGTGTTTCACAAAGAGAGTACTTCGCGTTCCGTATCCACGAAAGATCAAATGAGATCTCAACAATAATGTATGCTAAAAGGTTATTCCAACAATTCTTGGTTGATGCGTATACTATGGTTGAATCTTCGAGGTTGCTCTATATTAGGTCAAATCAAAAAGCTTTGAGGTGTGAGGCGTACAAAGGTCTGTCTGATGCGTTGACGCGAGGTGAAGTTCAACCCAGCTCTCAAGGTAAAAGAATAATATTACCTTCAAGTTTCACGGGAGGAGCAAGATACATGATACAAAACTACCAAGACGCCATGGCAATTTGCAAATTTATAGGTTATCCAAATCTGTTTATTACTTTTACATGTAATCCTAAATGGCCGGAGATACAACGCTTCTTGGAGAAAAGAAATTTGAAAGCTGAAGATCGTCCGGACATTGTCTGCCGTGTTTTCAAAATGAAGCTAGACTGTTTAATTAAAGAAATAAAAAATGGGAAACTATTTGGTCGCGTAAAGGCAGGTGCGTACCGTAGTTCTTTATAAGTGTCATTTTTCATATAATAATTATTATACGAACCTTATAACTAACAATATGAATGCATTATTGACAGTTATATACACAATTGAGTTTCAAAAACGCGGTCTTCCGCATGCTCACATATTACTGTTCCTATAAGCGACCAGCGACTTTGCCAACCCGGCTTTTATGGACACGATCATTTCAGCCGAGATCCCAGACAAGCTGACAGACAATGAGTATTACAAAGCTGTCGAAGAATTCATGTTGCACGGCCCCTGTGGCGCTGCCAGGAGTAAATCCCCGTGCATGGCAAATGGCAAGTGTTCGAAGCATTTTCCAAAAAGATACATTGATGCATCACATTTTGACCAAGATGGTTACCCGTTGTATCGAAGAAGGGATGATGAGAGGACAATAAAAAAGAATGGAATAGAGTTGGATAATAGATATGTTGTACCACATAAACGGTACTTGCTTTTGAAATACAAATCCCACATTAATGTAGAGTGGTGTAACCAATCTAGGTCAATCAAGTACCTCTTCAAGTATGTAAACAAGGGCAACGACCGTGTAACTGCTGAGTTTTATAAGACTACGATGGATGAAGCTGGTAATGAGATTGTGGATGAGATAAACATGTACTATGATTGCAGATACATATCTGCATGCGAGGCAGCTTGGAGGTTGTTTAGTTTTGAAGTCCAGTACAGAACTCCCCCGGTTGAGCGATTAAGCTTTCACTTGCCGGATTGCCAATCAGTTGTATTCCAAGACGATGATACGATTGATAATGTCCTCAATAGAGAAACCGTTGGTCAAAGTATGTTTAATGCATGGTTTGTAGCCAACCAGAATTTCAAAGAAGCGAGTTTGCTGACTTGCATTGAGATGCCTACCAAATTTGTGTGGAAAAAGGACATCCGTGAATGGCATCCAAGAAAGACCAAGAGAACCTCAATTGGTCGAATATTCTATGTACCTCCAGCTTCAGGTGAAATATATTATTTGAGGTGTCTATTGAACATAGTCCGTGGTCCAAAAAGTTTCAAAGATATTAGGACAGTTAACAGTGTTGAGTACTTGACCTTTAGAGATGCGTGTTATGCTCATGGATTGCTAGACGACGATAAAGAGTACATTGATGTTATAAATGAGGCAAGCTACTGGTCAACTACGCATTCATTGAGGAAGCTATTTGTTGTTTTACTAACATCATCCTCAATTATTAGACCCGAAAATGTTTGGAATCAAGTTTAGCAACATTTGTGTGAAGATGCTCAACACTATCAAATAAGAATATTAAAACAACAAGGTAATGTAAATTTTTTATGATACAATAAACTCTTCAACAATTTTCTTAGGTTATACTTATAACTATTTGGATGTTGCTATTGTAACAGATTTGGTCTTAACAGAGGAAGAGAAAAAGAACTTTGCATTATTGGAATTGGAAAACCTGTTGGGGCAACAAAACAAGTCTTTAAAAAACTACCCTCCGATGCCCACACCAAGTACTGATAATACAAGGTTGTTTCAAAATCGATTGGTTTTTGAAGAGTTGTGTTACAATTCGGAACAATTGAAGACAGATTCTGAAGTGATGTGTGCCAAACTAACAGAAGAACAGGGTCTCATTTATGATACTGTTATCCAAGATATTGCCAACAATAAAGGTGGCTTATTTTTTGTTTATGGATATGGTGGAACAGGAAAGACTTTCTTGTGGAGAGCGTTATCAGCTGCAGTCCGATGCAAAGGCCAGATCGTTTTAAATGTCGCATCAAGTGGCATAGCTTCTTTGTTGTTACCAGGTGGCCGAACTGCACACTCGAGATTTGCAATACCTATTGCAATAAATGAGGACTCTACCTGTAACATTAAACAAGGTAGCGACTTGGCTGAATTGTTGATAAAGACGAGCTTGATAATTTGGGATGAAGCTCCCATGATGCACAAGCATTGCTTTGAAGCGTTAGATCGAACCATGCGGGATTTGTTGCGTTTTGTAGACCCTAATAGTGAAATGAAGACGTTTGGTGGTAAAACAGTTGTTTTGGGTGGAGATTTTCGCCAAATTCTTCCAGTAGTTCCAAAAGGTACACGGCAAGACATTGTTTCTTCCGCCATAAATTCATCATATCTATGGGATAGTTGCAAAGTTTTAAGGTTGACTAAAAACCTCAGGCTAAGTTCGGTACACAACGGTGGGAACCGGCAGGCATTACAAGAGTTTGCTAACTGGATTGCCAATATCGGCGATGGAAAGCTGGGTGGGCGGAATGACGGGTTCGCAAAGGTTGAAATACCAAAGCACATGTTAGTATCATCCGGAGGGGACGACATTAAAACAATTGTGCACAGTATATTTCCAATGTTTGCAAATGGAAACACTGACCCCGAGCATCTGATAGGTCGTGTTATATTAGCACCAACGCTCGACGTGGTCAACGCAGTTAATGACTATATGACTGAGTTGCATAATGCCGAAAACAGGTCATACTATAGTTCAGACGCAGTATGCAAAGCCGATGGCGATAACGGTATACTTGGAGATGTACACACACCGGAATTTCTAAATAGCATTCGGGTGTCAGGTCTACCAAATCATACACTTAATTTGAAAATCGGCTCACCAGTAATGTTAATGAGAAATATTGACCATTCTCTTGGTTTGTGCAATGGAACTCGGTTGATAATCACAAAGCTAGTAGACCATGTTATTGAAGGCGAGATTCTCACTGGTCCCAACAAAGGTACAAAAGTGTTAATCCCCCGAATGTCAATGTCACCATCGGATCCAAGATTGCCGTTCAAGTTTCAACGAAGACAATTTCCATTGATGCTTTCATATGCGATGACCACAAACAAAAGTCAAGGCCAAACGTTGACTCATGTAGGTTTAATACTAAAGAAACCGGTTTTTGTACACGGTCAGTTGTACGTAGATGCATCTCGGGTTAATAATCCAGACGGTCTCAAAATATTGATAGTAAAAGACTCAAGTTCAACTACTACATCAACCACTAATGTTGTATATCATGAAGTTTTCAATAATTTGTAATTTTGTAATGTATTCTTTTTATATTACCAACACCTTGCAACTATTTGTAACATACCATTTTCATAGGTTTTTTGTTGTATTCCCAAATACATCACACAAATTTTAACATAACATACACACAATTAATAATTTTTAATTTACATCTCGTGCATCGCACGGGTCAAATACTAGTACTAATATATACTACGTAATTAAGTCTGTGTTTGGAAACCCGGAAAATTATTTCTGGAAATCATTTTCCAGGTTTTTGGTGTTTGGCTGCACTTTGGAAAATCCAGTCAACGGAATTCATTTTTCGTTGACTGGAGAAAATGTGCTCAATTTGGCGGAAAATGACTTCCGCCAAATTTTGGCGGAAGTCATTTTCCGCCATTTGCTATTTCATTTTTTTTTAATAGCTTCTGGCGGAACTGGTTTCCGCCGGAAACCAGAATTAATTTTTTTTTTTAAGTTCTAAACATTTAAAATATATATTTTATTCTAAATAAAATAATTAAAATATTTAATTATACCATTCTACTTATATTCCAGAAAATGAACCAAACACATCAAAACAGTTTTCCAAATGCAACCAAACACGGGAAAAGGAAAATATTTTCCAAAAAATGACTTATTTTCCAAAAACTATTTTCTAGAAGTCATTTTCCTGCTTTCCAAACGGACCATAATGGAAAGAGACCGTGCTTAAAAAAACAAAAGGGGAATGAGACGGAGAGCATTACTATGGGGAACCGGGATACGCGTCGTTTATGAGGTCAAGTAGATTATTGGATAGCATTATTGTCGGGTATCGGGATACGGAGAGCACTACTATCGGGAATCGGGACACGCGTCGTTGAAACGTACGAAACAACTAAGAAATTGATTGCCACCAGGTAATATCCATGACCTTCAATTTTTTTTTTCTCTGAGGCAAGAATGCCGGTTATGCCGCTTTTCATAATCTCTTCAATTTCTTCTTTTGGAGGAGGCTCAGCTGCTACCATCATTATCTAGTTTTATTTTCTGCATTAACAACCTAAATAGAAAAATGATGAGTCAAAAAAAAAAAAATGAGAGAGAGAAAAAAGATGATTCAAAGGAAGATTGATGTCTTGAAATAAGTGTATCGCACTGATGTATTTTAAGTGTCAAATTTATACACCTTAAGTCTCGAACTAATGATGCACCTTAAGTTTTTGAATATATGCACCTTAAGTCTCGAACTGATGATGCACCTTAAATGTTGAAATTATACACCTTAAGTACTAAACTGTTGTAAATTAAGTTTCAAAGTGTTGCACCTTAAGTACTGAACTGATGCACCTGAAGTTTCAAGCTGATGCAACTGAAGTTTCAAACTGATGCACAATAAGCTTCGAACTTATGCGTTGGAAAATATTGCACATTAACCTTTAAATTTATGCACCTAGAGTA